TCCATCCATCCATCCATCCATCTACTCTCTGTCTACTGTGCAAGTACTATATATGTATACACATGTAACATATACATGTAACATATTCTAGCACTTTTTTGACCATCAGATGTTATATATAATATAAGATAAGATAAGATGAGATAATATAATATAACATAATATAATATAATATAATATAATATAATATAATATAATATAATATAATATAATATAATGTTATATAGTGCTATATAATTTTATAATGGTAAAATATAATCTAACATCACATAATATACAATATAATCGAATGTAATATAATATAGTGTAAGATAGTATAATACAGTATAATGTCGTGTAATATAGTATAGTATACTATAGTGTAATATAATATAGTGTAATCTAGAATACTTTAATATAGTATAATTCAATATAATATAGTACAATGTAGTATAATATAGTATAATATATAAATACATGTAGTATAATATAAATACAAAAACACACACACACATATATATATATATAGATATGTATGTGTATGCTTACACACATATATATATATATATATACACATACACAATACATACATATGTGCACAGATGCGCACATACATACATACATACATACATACATACATACATACATACATACATACATACACATACAGACATGCATACATACATGCGTAGTAGATGCGGCACATGGCATATGTACTCATACACACATGCGTATAGACACATCTGCAAAAACACATGTCTACGTAGATAAACAAGCTGATATCTTAATATGATTCACATGTAAGACCTGTACTGAAGCAAGTGAGTGTCGCACAGGAGTATGTCTATGCATGCACATGCACATACACATACATACATTTATGCATACTATGAATGTATGTATGCACGTATGTATGTACGTATGAAAGCAAGTGTGTATATGTATGTGTGTATGTATATGTAGATGTAGATGCAGATGTTGAGGTAGATGTAGATGTAGATACAGATGCAGATGTAGATGTAGATGTATACAGAGAGGGAAATGTACGTGTATATGTATTTGTGTGTGTATATAAATTTATTTATTTGTGTACACACGTGTATATATAACCATGTGGAACCCGTGTTTGTTTTTTGCTGTATTTTGCTTTATGTTGTTTTTTGTTGTCGTTGCGCAGACCCAGGAAGCCAGTGAGTGAGTGAACCCCGGTTCCTGCAACGACAGCGAAAAAGTAAACGCGCCCCCGCAGCGACAGCGAAAACATAAACGCGCCCCCCCGACGACAGCCGGAAAAGCGCGGCCCCGCAACGGAAGCAAAAAAATAAACGCGCTCCCCGCGACGACGGCAGAGAAGTAAACGCGCTCGCGGGAACGACAGCAACAAAAACAAACGCACCCCCGCAACGACAGCAAACAAAAAGCGCCCCAGCAACGACAGCAAAACAAATAAACGCGCCTCCGCAACGACAGCACAAAAATAAACACGCCCCCGCAACGACAGCAAAAGAATAAACGCGCCCCCACAACGACAGCAACAAAAATAAACACGCCCCCGCAACGACCGCAAAAAGGCAACGACAGCAAAACAGTACACACTCTTACCAGATAGATATAGATACAGATATAGATAAAAGATATAGATACAGGTATAGCTACAGATATACATATAGATATAGATGTAGATGTAGATATAGATATAGATCTAGATCAGTGATTGTTGTCACAACACTCTGAAGTGTTCCATATTATGCAGACACAGAAACACACGTGGACACAGATGCATGCACATCTATGCTACGCATGCATCTATGTGCTACTGGTACCGTCCGCCACATGTACAGGCAAGACCAACAGATGGTCCACGAAGCATTCCACAATGGGCTACCCGAATCTGTAGTGTATTGCATAAGTACTTGTACCTGAAATGTTTTCCCGATAGCAGGGCTGCCGGTTGCAGCTTGGTTGGCGAGGCACGCAAACTACCTGCAAATCTGTGCTGTAGGCTCTGTGCCAGACTGCAACGTTCAGAAATTTGTTATGCAGATGTCAGGCATGGAATCCAAGCGCTGGTGTTGCGTCCGGCTCACAGAAGCAATCCGCAGAGCTTCAAGGCGTCCGTGTTTGCTTCAAGATCTGGGATGTGTTCTATCTGTGATCCATGTGAAGCTTCGAGGCTATCGGCTTTTGCCACGTCATAGCCTCGAAGATGCGCTTGCCGATCTCGAGGCGCTCCGATGTAGCCCCTGGGCTTCCTGCTCTCACGTTTTGCTTTGATTGACTTCCTGGCTATGCAGTAGACTCTGGCATCCTGCTTCCCGAATTCGGGCTTGAGGCAGCAGTGAGCCTGGTGCGGCAGCACAAAGACGGGCCGGTGGCCGACACCTTTTCAAGCTGTGAGCCGATGATTTTCTGTGGCCGTAAGATGCATGGAGCTTGAGTTTGCCAGGTGGCAGCAGTTGGATTCTCCGCGGGAGGGCATTTGGTTGCTAGTCGGCAAAACAGTATCAACAATCAACAGTCAGACTTTTCCGGCGGCCGACTTCTAAAGACCTGCCAGTCGCAGGTCGCATCTCTCAGCCTGCGCTTGGCCAAGAGAGACAGGCGCTGGCCGCTAGCCGCTAGCTGGGAGCATCAGATCTTCACAAGAGTTGTTCTGCTCTGCTTGCGGACGTCGCAATGGGAGGCCAACTGGAGGTTATCCCCTCGACGCGCAGGCGAGACTCTTTAACTTTGCGAATTTCAGAGTCGGAGGTCGAGCGAAAAATCCGTGCAGGTTCTGGTGTATCCTTGCATTGATAGCTCTGGCCTTAAGCTTCTCTGCGCTTCACGGAATTTACGACCAGAGTCCTAGCGCGATCAAAGACAAGCTTCCAAAGACTTCTTTCCAGCGGCCAAGAAGGCAGATACTCGCAAGAGAGTGGACATGAGACGAAGAGCGCTGGGGTTCATCTGGATTTTTGTGTCCCCCGTCTCGTCGAGAGTCTCGTTCCGAGTGTCAAGGCTTCGCATGGCTCGCAGTATCCGTCCGATCCATGCTTATTCTCCCTCCCCTCACTAACCCTAAAGCACGCAGTGGAACGCATGCTCGTATGTGACAACCAAGTGCTGGCACAGCCACAGCTTTTGCGGCTTAAGCCACCGCGATTCAGCCGTCGGCGAGCCGTCCAGCTTGTGCGGTTGCGCTTTGCTCTTCTTCTTTTGGTCTGTGCGCCTTTGTCAGGAAGAGAGCCTCAGGCAAGCCTCCATGTGCCGACCGGTTCGTTTCCGGCTTCAAAGCTGTCTTGGCCCTGTCTGTGAAAATATTTTGCGTGGAGACAGACGCAGGATGGATGCTGACTTGGATGTGTGCTGGACTGGCAACGAACATGTATCTGCATTGCTGTGCACATAGAAAGAGAGAGGAGCCCGTGTCTACTTTGAGGTGGAGGTCACAGCATCGTAGATGCTGATAGAGAAATCTTCCGCGATCGTGTCTTTTGATCTCGTTTGGGCTTGTCCTATCTTGAACAGATCGGTCGGGAGGTTACTTCGAGGACATGTTTGTGGCACCACATGGCATGGGCCATGCGTGCATCAAAAGAGCGGGGGTTGGTGCGTACGTCAAGGCTGTCACAGTCACACTTCTGTGGGAATCTTTGGCGAGTCAAGACTGGCCACACAGCCCTGACAAGCAGCGATTGTAGGGTTTTGTTGAACAGCAGAGATGGCCCTACTGTACTTCCAGCCAGGCGTAGCCTTTGAGCTTTTGCGGTCAGCTTGGGGGCAGCTCTGACACCCACGTCTGAAATCAAGGCTTCTGCTATTTAATGTTTGCTGGGACTTGCACTGCAGGAGGTGGCATCCTTTGATTGAAGACCTTGAATCAAACTCTGGGTGCTCTTGTTGGAGGTCCCACAAGAGAAATACAGGGTCAGCGATAAGACTTTAATGTGGTTTGTTGGGGTACTGTACATTCCATGTCTCCATCAAAGAGCACGAAATATAGCAGCAATCTGGCGCACAGGCGCAGTGTGTTCTGGTACAATTCCTGCGTGGGTTATTCTGAGTTTGACACGTGCCGTATATCGATAGCAAGGGATGGGACAAGACTTTTTGTGGTGCAAGCGGCGCCCAGGCTCTGGCTGGGGAAAGCCGGGTGAGGCAGGATTCTGGGATCCGGCATGGGGTCCCAGTTCTTGCTCAGACCTTTACCATCCCGGTAAGGCCGTTCAAGCAGATGACATCGCCAGATAGATATGGGTGATTGGGAGACCTGAGGGTTGTTTCAGTCATCTTCGTTTCAAGCTGAGGCCTGCCACGAGAAGGCCAGTTCGCTACTGGAAGGCTCGTTAGTGTTGGCAGATGGCACCAAGAAATGCTGGTTTGCCCGGACGGCGCGCGCTGTATGACTTGATCTGCGCCGTACTGTCATCGGTCATCAGCTTGAATGCTTGATACAAATTTGGTAAGTGGCAAGGCATGTCTTGACATGCAAACCATGCGAGGCCAACAGTTACTGCTTGGAGGCGCCAATGTTCGAGTGTTGACATCGTTATCAGAGAAACCTTGGCTAGAACGACGGTGGCTGCAGGACGTGGATTTGCTGCACCGTGTGGGTCTAAGCAAGTCCAAGCGGATGGCTCGGGAAAAATTCCGTGCAGCGAAGGCAAGGAACCGGTTCCACCTTATGGAATGACAAGTGTGTTTTGGAAGGCAAACCTCGTTGGAAGCATTGGCCAGTGCTGCTGCAGGGTTTTCGTTTTTCTTCATGTAGCACGTCAACTTCTCTATATCTACGTCTCCGTCAGTATCTAGTATCTATATCTGTACATACACACATACATGCATACATACCTACTTACCTGCGTACCTTTGTACTTACATACATAAATAAACGGTGACAGTGCCGGCACTGGTACTGTATAAGCCTTGTTGACTGTATCAGTAGTGGTAATAGTGACAGAAGTATTCTCTTCCAATATCCATACCAATACCAGCGCCAATGCCAGCAGCAACATAAACAACAGCCGCAGCTGGCAGCGTGTTTGTAAAACTGCCACCCCTACCACTCCAACTGCCACTACCACTTCCACTGCCACTGCTACTCTGCTGCTACCGCTTCTGCTTCTGCTACTGCTACTGCTGTTACTGTTATGACTATCATGGCTGCTGTTGCTACCATTATCGGTACCATAATTATTACAGTTTTACTAGGCACAGTACTGTTATGACTATAGCAGGACCTTAGAAAGTTGAAAGATTCTCCAGGAGAGTCGTGGCTCAAAAAGCCATCAGCTGCCGTGAGAATGTTGGAGTTGTACTTCTTCACAGACCGGGCAACCACGAAAGACGTGGTGCTTTTGCCCGCGCTGTGCCATGACATCGCCCTTTTCTCCATTGCTTTGCAGCTGGTGCTCCTCGTGCTGATCCTGTTGTACCTGTTGTTCAAGGCTTTGTTGGAGCGCGTTGTGATGATGTCGCGAGCTAGGAGCGCTGAATTGGAGGAGGCCGCGCAGGAGCAGGAGCCGACGTCCAGGATTGAGCTGCAGCCGCCGTGTAAATGTCTGCGTTTTGGCATCAAGTGGGATCCAGACCTTCGGTATATGATCAACACTCTCAAGGCGGAAGGTGAAGAAGGCCTTACGCGATTTCTGAAGAATCAGGTCTTCGTGTGGAAGCTGCGGAGCTACATACGCAACAAGGTCTCCAAGGCTTTCATGATGAGCATCAAGAGAGACATGATACGGCTGCAGCAGCAGAGGCAACTTCGCGAAAGGACTGCACAGAAGACCCCGGAGCAGGAGACGCAAGACCGGCATGCTCTGCGAGAGCTCTTTGGGCCAGCTGACCAACCGGCGGCTGCTGCTCAAGCACCTCTGGTGCAAGAGCAGGCGCCCGTGATTCAGGAAGCCCCGGAGCAGCCAGCGGCTGTTGTTGGGCCACCGGGTGCAGAAGAAGAGGAAGAGAAGCCCGACCCGTTTTTGAAGATGCTCATTGCGACATCACAGAGAAAGCTCATGGACCCCCGGATGCCACCAGAGGATGCTGCTGCCGGGGCCTCCATGAAACCGGAGCGACCTCCAAACAGCTGGACGAACGCACAACAGCCAGAGCCATCCATGGAGGCAGAAACATCGGAGGCCTTTGGGCAGGTGCTCATTGAAACTTCCCGGAACAAGCCAATCGATGCTCACATGTCCCCCGGGGATGTTGTAGCCATGGCATCGATAAGAGGAGAGAAAATCCCACATGAAGCACCCCAAACTGCAGCAATGGCGTGCATGATGACAGCAAAGCAACCCGTGGAAACAGAAGCACCGTTTGGCTGCCCAACGCTCATTGAGACCTCGCAGACGAGGCGACTTGACGCACAGCTGTCACCGGAAGATGCCGCTGCTCTGGCTTGCCTGATGGCGGAGGAACTAGTGAGCAACTCCGAAACCCATGCAGAAGTGCCGTCAGCAGCAGGCAGCTCGTGCGACACCGATGGTTGGGAAGGTGAGGACTTCTTTGCACACATCGACCCAAGCCTGCCACCAGAGCTGGCAGCAGTCAAGCTGTTTGCAGCAATGGGAATCTCAGAAGATCTTATGTTCGTCAGATTTGCTCCTGTCGCGCACACCAACACCATGGAAAGCGAGGATCCCTTCAAAGACTTTTGGGACGATTTGGATGACAACATGTCGCCAGAACTGGTGGCGGCTAACCTCGTGAACACGGCCCGGTCCATAAGGGCCAGATGCGAGTAGTGCAAGTGCCAAAGTGCACTGAACAGCCTGCGTGTAAAGCCGTCAAGGTTTGGCATGAGAAGGTCATGCCGCTTGACTGCTGTTGGTTGGTTGGCACGTACTGCTCAAGATCTTTATGCTGCATGGCGTTGGATGGCATCCATGCTTCGAGTGTCAGGATAGAATCTCGACCATCAGGCAGTTTGACCCCGAACGTCGAGCCAGTCCCATAAAAACCTTAAGCCCTAAAGACGCGTTGTCGTAAATCCTATGTCGTACCGAAAGCTTCGCCGTCCTCCTGACGTCTGACGGTTCGTCAGATGCAAGCCCTGCAGCTTGGCATCTCTGAGAACAGTTTGGATTTAGGGCTTTTGGGGGTCTAGGGCCTGAGGGCTCTTAGGATTCAATTTAGCTGGACTTTGGGGTTTAAGGTTTATGGATTTCTCATTGATGCATAGCTTCAAGCGCACAGAGTCTGCCGAGCCGTGCGGACAACACAGCCCGACTGCGAGCGCGCATCTCTTGCAACCCAGAACCCCGAACCCTAATGAGAGGGTCCAGCATGAACCCTACAAACCCACTGCACACACCCTCGCCGACACCCTCAGCCACATGCCCATGGACCCAAAACCTGGAGCCTAGCCGAAGCCGCGAAGCCAAAATCCTAAATTCCAGCGTTCTGACTCAGTCACGCCCAGATAAAGTCGTGATTATATCTGACATGAGATTTCACGAAAGAACTGTTGAGTCGCCCGAAGCTTTTGGTTGAACGTGTTTGATGAATAAAGATTCGAGGTTTTCTCTTCCCTGACTTCGGAGATGCTCAAGAATACTGCACTCCTCACACTGCCGTGTGCGCCAAGGCCGAGCTTCCTTGTTGGCTCCACCGGCGATGCTGTTTGCCCTGCTAAGGCCGGTCAGTGAGACTTACTGTAGTTTTTCACAGCATCAGCATGCACCCTCCGACATTGATGAGCGGTGGCTAATGATAGTTGACCCCGGCTTACTTGAATAGCAGCGATGGTCTTCAATACCATGGGGTTTGTTAACGTTGGTCAAGCCGAAGGGAGGGAATGCTGCATGAGCAGGTTCACACCGATCCTTATGCGGAGGCTCTTTCCAAAAGGCGCCGTGAGCATCGCTGCAGATGCAGCTTTGCATGGACTAGCTTTGCTGTCTGTTGCTTTTTGAGAGCAGCATTGCCAGTATCACCGCAGGGGAATCGCCCACGAGTACATTCGGGGAAATCTCGGAGAGCATGGATTTGGTTTGGCAGAGACCTTAGCGTTCGAGATACAATGTGGAGAAGATGGATGTGCTACGCAGTAGTGCTAGTGACATCGAAAGGGGTGTGCGTCGGCGGACGAGGAACTAGGCTCGCCTAGGTTTGGATTTGAAGGTCCAAGCTTGCACGGTCTGTCATGCCGCTTGATCATCGAGTGGAGTTGACACGCAACTTGCTTCTCTGGGAAAACCGAGCAGCTGCAGATCTTGTTCTCCTATCGAGATGTCAACAGAACTGTAGGGTCATTGAGCACTGGCCGTTCTCCTTGTGGGGCGACGTATGCAATCCTAAATCTTAAACCAAGCGTTAGTTGATGGCGCGACACATGACGACATGTCGTACCGCGATCAGTGTACGTTCAGGAGACATATGATGCTGTGAAATCAAGGACCCATGTTGGAGCAGTGCAGCTTTGCACTGGCTACGCCAGCGTGGCTTCGGCAAAAAGAGTCCCTCTCGCTCGGAACCCAGTTGTTGCCAGCCGGCATGAAATGCGAGATCCCCGAAAAGCACAGACTCTAAGGCTCCTGGGCCGGCTGCCGCCTCAAAACGCGTTCGCAAGGTTTTGCTGGGAGGCAGCCAGCTTTCCTGGCGCCTCCACTTCAGGACTTTGAGCTTCACCTTCCAGAACAGCTTTATCTGGCTTGCTAGGACTTGGGCCGCTCTGCACTGACACTTCCATCAGCTTGTGGTTTATCCAAGTGGCTGTTATTCAGGTCAGCCGTGAAGATTCTTGAAGCTGGCGTGCTGCAGGAGCACTGCGTTGAGCGGCTCACAAGGCAGATTCTGGCTCTGATGGCCTTTTTGCCAAGAGCTCCGCCGCGGAATCTTGATGGCAGCTGCGCATTTGCAGTTGCGCTCTCGATTTTGCAAGCCATGCTGCATGTCAGCAGAGATGTGATTTGAAGTCTTTGCGGTCCCTGAATGGGCGAATGGGCTGGACTCAGATCCGAGCAAAGCGAAAATCGATAAGAAGGGCTAGGGAGGAGGTACGATATGTCAGTGGACGTAGATGGAGGTAGTGGCTTGGCTGTTTCTGGCTCTCCGAATTTGCAAGTTTTCCGATTCACAGGCAGGACCCGAGGTTCTGAGGAACTAATCAGGCACTCCGCGGCCTGACCAGCAGAAAACGATTTGGCTGCTGGTGGGTTCGATAACTTCGGCCAAGCTCGTGTTTGTACACTATTTGGGACGGGCGGCGCAGAAGAGTGTTGCCATCGACCCGGGACCTAGTCCTGATTACATTACATTATCAGTGCACCGAAAGCTGAAGCTCGCGACTGAGGCGGTATGCGTCATCGGGATGCTTTCCCACAAAAAGAAGGGTTTGTCTTTGTTCTGATCCTTCACTCGTTCTTCGGCTCTCCTCATGCAGTCCGGGGTATGAACGCTTTCCTGTCTCTTACGCGAAAAACGATTTATGCAGGTTGGTGCGGTTGTAGGCGGACCATCTCATCTCGGCTGCATACGCGCTTTCTGATCAGAGTTCACGATGCAAGAGGCAGCATATCGTCGAACCCATGTGCAAGACATGCACTGAGGCCAAACAGCCGCGCCAAATTCAGACCACCTCCCAGCCCGGCGGAGAATTGGCGTGCGCAGCGTGGCGCCGCAGCTGCGCAAGTGGACATTGGCGTGGAAACATCGGCGGGGAGGACAGCATGCCTGACATGACTCTCCAGCATCCTCGGCGAACGGCGCACCGGCACGCTGCCATTGTCGGAGCGGTTGACTTTGGCTGGTTCTTTAGTGAGCACGTGGCTTCTGCACATTGATGTCTCGCGGTGAGGTTGTAGCAGGGACTGGTGCGCTCGATTTAATGTCGTGTTTGGGTCCGGTAGTTCGGCAACTGTGAGACGTTCAATGCCGTAGCTATGAAGCTCGGATTTTGGCTATTCTTCGCCGAGTCATGGCGGAGTTGTAGCTTCTTGCTGTCGCTTCCTGTGCGCTCTCCACGAGAACATGCCGGCGATTTCTGGACTCTTGGCATGTCTCTAGTAATGCGGCCTTGCTCAGACGCGGAAGAGGACGGCTTACAAGCGAAGCTAAGGCGATTGCAATGGAACACCTCCGAACAAACTGCAGAGGGACTGGTTGCTCGGATCGTTTAGAGATCTGTACATGATCGCAGACTCCGATTCTCTTTCGGAGAAATCGGACCTAGAGGCCCTAGCAGGCATTCCCGTTCACTCCTCAGGTCGACCGGCTTCAGAGACAGGTCGGAGGGGAGGGTCTTCATTTGCATCTCAATCTCGAATCCAGCAACTTCGTCAGCGTGACCTCTGGGAGCCTTGCCTGAGAAGAACTTGAAGATTACCATTTGCACGCACTTGGCGAGCCGCCTGTTTCGTGCATAGGTCTAAGTCAAAGGCAAGCAAGCACGTGTAAGACTGCTGTCTGCAGCTTGAGCGAGTTTAAAAGGCTTACATGGTAACACAGCTGCACGTTCATCAGTCGCTGCAGCCGCAGCCAAGTAAACAAAAAGTTACCGTTACCCGTGCTTGCAACACGCCCACGTCCAAGCCCAAGCCTCCTGATTCAAGGCTTTTCAAGGCTTAGGTTCCGATAGAGCAGCCATCTGTCTGGATTGAGTCGAACATCGAAGCTAGCCGTTGGAAACTACAGACTGCGCTCCTGTCGATGTCACCAGCTGATGTACGGTACGAAATTCGAAATTGGTTTAGCAACAACAGGCGTTCGGGCGTAGATTGTTTGAGGCGGTGGCTGCTTGCTGCCATCGTTCCGATGTTTTGCGTGGGATCCGCGGAGCGAGGTTCAGCATACACACACACACACACACTGAGGGCTTCTAGGGATGCTGGAACTGCCGCGCCAGCAACAACCCGAGCCCGAGGGTCCGGAAGTGAAATCGTTGTCCATGTGCTTCCGAGAGTGAGCTGTCTGTTGCGGGGCCTATGGTTCGCCATCACAACAGGAGGCAGATTGTAGAATTTGTGGGTGTGCCGAGGCCAGGCTTCCTTGAACTTGAAGAAGTGCCCGGAGAGTCCAGCTTCGTGCATTGGGAGGCGGAATATCTGCAACAGGGCCGTGCAGAAGGATAGAACTAGCTCCTTCGGCTCTTTTGAGCGGACTCTTGCAGTCAGGTCAATGCTACCACGGCAAACGGCACCGGCAAAGTATTCTCGTTGTCTGTGCCGCCACGAGTGTGGTGCTCCATGTGCAGGATCTGGTCGGACACCTTCATGGAAACTTGGCAAGCCTCTCAGCTTCATCATGCTCAACTGCGTTCGGTAGCCTAGCTCAGACACCCGAAGAAAGCAAACCTTCAAACTCGATTTCACAAACCATGCTCAATCCATTTATATCCATTATTTGGAAGTCGGCAGACTGCCGAGTTGGCTGCTGCACACTCAAAAGAACCGCAGTGCGAAATACTCGCAGCCTGACCGTGGCTGCCAATCTCCGAGCCGGCGCCTCCGTGACTCAGACATCTAGTGGGGTGAAAGCAAAGATCACCCTACATCTGCGAGTACTCGAAACGCCAAAGGAAGCAGCGAAATGTCAAAGAAGCTCTGTGAGCCGCTGCTGGAGTGATGCCTAGCAAAGATGAAGCTCCAAAACGCGGCGATGGCTGACACCACGTTTAGCTCAGCAACACGAGATGAAGCACGCACCATCTGTCCTGGGTACCTCGCAGCTGCCGAGTCACATCAAGTCATCACATGGAGCGAGCATGAGAGCTGCGTGCAGAATCTAGCAACCACGCTTCCGTCGCACTTCGCAGTGACAGGGATGCCAGTTCTTTCGAGGTAACTCTGAGAGAATTCGTAGCCTCCCAGTTCTGTTACACGTCGGCTTTTTGCACTCGAGGCTACCGTCCAGAGTCTTGGCTAGCGGCTGGAGCTTTCCACAACTAAATGTGTGTGCCTTGATGGAGCCAAGGACTTGGCTCTAGATGTGGAGCTGGAGCCATTCCTTGCGGGTCGGACATCAAGCACAGAGGCTTCTTGACTTGGACTCAGACTTCATGCTTAAGCTCGCACGGCTTCTAGGGTGACACTTAGTGACGGTGTATCATGGTGTATCTGCATGTGGAGTTCAAGCCTGAAGTATCCACGGCCTGAAGAGCCAAGATGCGAGGTGGGTCTCTTCCTGCTTGTGTCTCCTACTGCGACGTTGTGGCGATTTCTGCCTCTTTCAATACAGCGCGTCTGGAGCCGGTTTGCAAATTTCCGACTGCACGTGCTCGCCTCTTGGCCCGATTTCTGCAGCGTAACATCTGTGTACGGAGTGGATTCCCTCCTTCACAGACGAAGAGGTCCATTACCCGGACGACTGGCAATCCCGCTTCTGGCGAAGGCGCGTGGGACAGGCTTTGAGAACGACTTCGCAACGACTGCCAGCACGCATTTTTTCTTTGGAGGCACCTGGGCCCTAGCCATGCTGCCCTGGGCGGTATTCACTGGTGCGGTGCCGTGCACCTCCTCCGGAATTCGAGTAAGATTTCCAGTTTGCAAGGTCTTTTACCTTTATTCTTGCCCATTGTGTATGGAGGGATGGGCAGATTCCACAAATGATAGAAGCTGCAGGAACCGTTTCCCGGCTTTGAATCCGAAGCTGGTGGAAAGGCGGCCAATGGACACCTACTTCAACAAGGTCAGTTTTTTTCGCACGTAAACTGTTTCGGTTCACCGCACGCTGTCTTTATGTCCGGTGAGTCATTGTGAGTCAAGCTCTTGATTCCATCATTCAGTTGAGATCTGAAGATGCGAGGATGCCTTGCGATTGTGAGACTGGCAGAGTGTTCTCTCGAAACAGGTCTTCGCCATGATCGCTATTGCTGAGCATCAAGGGTTCAGGCAGAACATGCCAAATGCCTGAAGAAAGATTCTCCCCATTAGGTTCAGCTGAGAACACCCGTGATCTGCAATGTGATTTTACTAGTTTGCGATGTCCAGCCGGCCTAAGTTCAGGAAAGTGGAGGCTGCTTCCTGTCTGGACTTTCTGCTCAACGTCAGTGTCATCCAGGCTCCTCTCCATGTTGCTGAACACAGTCCGACAGGTGGATCCTCTCTTTGGATGACGATGTCATCCTGCCGCCCTTCGCTTTGATGTCCATGTCGCTTGTCACCGGCTTAGGCATGGCATCAAGTTCCAAGTCTTGCAGTTTTGCACAAGTGCTGCCAGCAGATAGCTGGGCAGGTTGAGGATCGGGCGAGAAGCAGACGAAGCCAATTGCTTTACATCGTTGCCACTCACACAGATCCTGGGACAGCTTTTCGTAAGGTTGGGCGAACTAACAGCTGGACGGGTGGAGCATGGACACACGCCTTGTGCTTGCAAAGCGAGAATTCTCTATCCAGCGTGTTCGCCTGTGCTACTGTTTGCTGTCGGGCCTGAGACGTCCGGCTTTCCCAGCAAGGAGGGAGTTTGTCTGCTTATCAGAAGGTCCAAGGAGAACCCGATCTAGCGATTTACTGCTCGTGCGTCTGTGCATGCGTGCATGTGGCGTGTGCGTGTGCGCGCGCGCGCGCGCGCGTGTATGTGTGTGTGTGTGTGCGTGTGTCTCTGTGTGTTCGCCATAGAAGTATATAGAAGTAGTTTGTTCAATTCGCGGCGCACCCAGGCGTACTTACGTCTGCACAAAGCATGA